AAAAAATATATATATATATATATATATATATATATATATTTAGTGGTGTCTACTATTTATTGACCACGCTATACAACTTTCACTTCTCAAAAAAAATGAGAAGTTCAAGAGCAAACCTTGAAACTGTCAATCTTAACTTAGTTTTTTCTATCCATATTTTCAACTAATATTTACTTTAAAACTAATTTGGCATATAATTATAATGAGATAACTTATATTTGCAAGGAATTGGAAGGGATTTGGAAAATTTTGAACTTATTTCTTCATTTGTAAAATAACTTTTTAAGTAGTGTCAAGGTAATAAAAAATAAAAAACAACAACAACAACTGAGCAAGTATTATTTTTTCAAATTAAAGATTTTTGAGCTTTTATTTTTTGCATACCTTAGATAAGATGTTTGGGATCTTTAAGATTTTAAGCATTTTAAATTTGTGAGAGTGTTTAGATGAAGAATTTTAGTAGAGTAATTTAATTTTTTTAAAAAATTTTAAATATTTTGAAATGAAATGTTTTGTTTAGATGGAAAATTTATAATAAAAAAATTGAAATTTAAGTATTTGTAAAAATTTTTAAAATTATAAAACTTTAAATTCTTAAAAAAAAAATTTAAGATCCGTCTTTCTTTTCTCTCTCTCTTAACTCTCCCTTCTTTCAAATTGATATAAAAAATGTTAATAATTCTTAATTAGTTAATATTTAAAATTATTAAATACTTAAAATTATCTAATACTTAATTATATAAAATTTAATCTAAAAATTTTAATATGTATGTGTTTAAAATCAATTTTAAACATGATGAAAACCAAATTTATCCCATCTAAAGAATTTAAAATTCAAAAATTTGAATATTTCAAACAAAACATTTAAAAATGATGAAAATTAAAGTATTTCAAATTCTAAAAATTTTAAATTACTTGAATTTTTTAAATTTCTCGTTTAACCACACTATAAATTATTTAATTTTGCAAAATATAAAGTTAACGGAAATAAAACCAAAACCCGAGTATAGAAATAAACTCATGGTATGACAATTACCAATCAAGCAAAGTATATATATATATATATATATATATATATACTTTTCTTGTCAAAATTATGATACTACCGTATTGACAGAAAGACAAGGCAAAGTTGCTGAATTTTATTCTTAGTAAACCTTTACTGGTAGGCCTCAATTACTTGTGACAGGTTATGCTTTGGTTGGCGAATAATCTATGGCATACTTCAATTAAATTTTTACCCCGAATCAAGAACACTCCCAATTTCTAAGCCTAATTGGCTTCATTTCCCTTAATCATGAATTCCAAATTTAAAAAACCACATAAGAATGCCTGATTGTTCGTACCAACGTGCAGGCATTTAGGATTGTCAATTACCAAGATAACCATCCATAGAGCCATGAAACTAGCATAAACATGCTAATTCACATAAGATACTGAGAAAACTCAAGAGGGAATATTCAATCTGAATCATGTCTCCTCTTCTTGTCTTTCCTATGTCTCTTCCTGTCATCTGAATCACGAGAATGCCGCTTCTCATGTCTCTCACGCTTCTCGTGCTTCCTCTCCTCATGGGAACGATGCTTCTCACGCTTATCACGTTTCTCTTCCTTCCTCTCCTCACGTCTTCTCTTTCTTCTACCTTCATCTTCTGAATCATCTTCAGTCTTCGTTGCTGGTTGATTTGGCATTGATACATTTTGCTCCTCAGCCGGTGTATCACTAATTGGAAGCTTTGAAGAACCGGGTTCTTCCCAAGGGCGTGGTTCTCTACAGAAAGTAGGAAATAAGTAAACATGATCGATTGCATAATAGTTTTGACGTAAGTAAACAAACTGACTCAGTCGGTTAAAAAAATCTGAAACAACTGAAACAGAAAATAGCAAAAATTAAAGTAAATATACAGATAATCAAATTGACTTTATGGCTATAAAAAAAATGTTTTATTTTCCTAATCACTTTACCTTGCAAAACCAAGACCTTGAACCCTTGCTGCTTCAGCATGACCTGCACCTAAGTCCTCTGCTGTAGACCCACGCTTTACCAGTTCTGAAAACTCATGTTTATCAAGTCGGTTGCCTTGGGGACGGTTAGCTCGCTTAGGAGCTAAGCCAAGAGCTTCCCTCATTGCCTGCTCCTCCTCTTCCTTAATTCTTTTTATTTCTTCTTTTGCAGCCTCCATTTCTGCATTTTGCGACTTTTTATCTCTAGCATACCAGAAAAGATCTTTTCCTGTCGAATTAAAAGAGAAGATTTAATAATTATCTTTTACTAAGACAATAACAAAGCATGCATTGCTAAAAAATTAGATCAATGAACTACCATAATGAAAAACTACCATAATGAAAAAGAAAGCTATATAACGAATACAATGAGAATAGCTACTGTCCTCTGTACAGGTTCAAAAATGAGATGGAACCATGGTCATTTTAGGAAACTACAAAAATGAATCTTGCAATAAGCTAACGCTCTTGTATTCAAATGACTATAATTTAATATTAACAACTAATAATGAAAAATAAAATGATTTAAATATGAAGCAAGTTTCCTATAGTTCCAGTTTTGTAGCGGTTTTTATTTAATAATGGAAAGAGTTGGGTCATACTTGGTTTAACTCAACTCATTTCAATATTATTTGGCTCAATTCGCAGCTCAACATGGTTCAAGCTTGTTGGCAGTACAGTTCAGCTCATTAGCTCAAATCCCATAGACCAGGAGTATTTTTATTTTAACTTATTCTATTAGTTTTGAAAATTTACAAGGTATGGCTCCAAAAAAACTTAATTACAACTTTATAAATAAAAATTACTCCACCTTGTATAAAATACAAGAAAATTCAATCCATAACCATAAAATTCTAAAGTGTTCACTTCTATTATTATTACTATTATTATTATTAACTTATAATTATATTTTGAGGGTCCTTTCAAATTTTAATAAGATGAAATTAAATAGAAAATTAATTATATAAATTATATATTTATATGTCCAACTGATTTATAAACCAAATGAGTCGAACTATACACAACTCAAGTTCGACTCATTTATTTATCGAATTCAATTTGTTACTCAGTTTCAATTCATTTAGTTCATGAATCAAGTTCAACGAATTAATTATCGAATTTGAACTATTTTCGAGTTGGTTCAGCTCATTTCCACCCTTTGTTGCCCAACATGTGACCAGACTTGAAAAAAGTCCATACAACAACTCAATAAGGATCTTTCAGGAAGATTTGTGGTTTATGTGAACTGTGAAGGAACCAGGCATAGAGTTGGGACCACTGACCAACCTAATCTTTGGTGGGGGAAACAGGATATTAGAAAGAACAAGTTAGGCCTCACAATACAAACCTATATATTTAGGCCACAGATTAAATCTGTGGAAGTGAGGTTTTAGACATATTGGGATTAGGGTGAGCACTAAGTGGCTAATCCTGGTAAAGTGGTATTATTATTATGGTTTAGGGTTTATCATGAATTCTCTATTTTATTTATGGACATATGCCAAGTAGTTCACAGTAGGTTGGTTGAAACACATCGAATTCCATGTCTATTTTTATTCTTTTTAGGTTAAACATATAATTTAGTCCCTACTCATGTTGTAGATCCTCAATTTGCTCCCTAGTACATGTAAAAAACTAAAAATTTATTAATTGGTCTCTATATGTAAATATTACGGAGATAGTCCCTAAAACTGTTATCTCTCTTATATATTCTTAATTTAGTTCTTATATATGTAGTGTATTCTTAATTTGGTCCATACACGATAAACACATTCTTAATTTGAGCCTCTATATGTATGGACCAAACTAAGAATGCACTACATGTGTGGCCTAATCTCCAATACCAAAATGAATTAAATGAAAAGGTACAGATAAATTACTATGCAATGCATAGACTGAGGATAGGAGGTAAGGCAGCACTGAGAAGCTTAGGTGTTAGAGGATGTGAACTTTGAATTAAAAAGTTGAAATTTGGGATTACATTTGTTCTACATAGAAGACCCCTTTTCAGATCTTTCCAATAGCATCAAATTTCATGTTCTATTTAGACAACCTTTTCACTGGATTTTGACAACCAAAGATTAACCAATCAACATTTTGATCAACTCAAACATAGAATAAGAAAAGCTTAAATTTTGAACATCTGAAATGCCTGATCAAGACTACAAACAACAAATAGTTTAAATAATCAAGTTGGAAAAAATATCATGAGGGAATTTTAGTGGTCCCTGTAGAAAAATCTCTTTCCTTTTTTGTATTAAACAAAATACACATACAATGTAGAAGCCCTTCAGCTTACATAATATCCTACACAAGAGTGGAGGTAACAATAGCCTTCATATAAAAGAACAATGGGATATTCTCTCAATAGGCTGACATTTTAGTCTGACAATATCCAATTGAAAATTAAAATGGAATCTAACTTGATAAACAAAATACCAAAAAGTGTTTAGGGCAGCACAATTTCAATTTTCCATTAGCCAATTCAAAGCATAAAACTACAAATACCAATTAGAGGCACCAAAATAATAACCCCGATATCTAGCACAGCCATATCTCCCAGGCATCAAGTGACCCTGGCATCCAATGTCTGCTAACGTAACTAAGTAATGGCTTGTCATCATCCTAAATGCAAGATTATAATAATAATAATACAAGAAATCACATTACCAATGATGTAAGAGTACGCTGAGCTGAAATAAACAATCAACTTTACCTTTCTGCCATCTTCCAACCGGGGCCTTGATACTATGACCAAGATAGTTCTCCCTATGCTTATCAACTTTTACATCATCCCAAGTGAATTCTGGCCATCAAAAGCAAAACACAAACAAACAAATTTGTAAGTCTTAAACTGAGTACCACGTTCATCACTATCATACAGAAAATAATTAAAATTAAAATTATATACATAAGCTTTTACTCCTAAGCGTAAATTTTGCAAATTTAGGGTTTAATATGATCAACTTATAAAAACGTATAAATAAAAAAGACAAAACCCCAATTCGTAGACAGCGTCCATCGCAGCGAATTGAAGAACGAATTCATGAAATTGGCGCACGGAGAGGACATTGCGAGTTTCAATTTGATGGATTCCGTAAACATTCGTTACCGAAAAGAAATAGAGAATTTGGAAAATAGCGAGAAATTGAAGAAGGCGAGGGAAGAGAAGAGAAGAGAAGAGAAAACTTACGATCTCGACCACCACGAACTCCACCTCTTGTTGGATGATACATATCTTGTGCAACTAATCGCTGTGTTTTCTGATTCCTTCGCCTCTTCTAATTTATTTGTCTTTCTATCATCTACAGTGAAAGAATCGTGTTTAAAGCGTGTTCACCCAGGCCTTGTTTGGCTCGTATTATTAGGAATCCAGATTGCTCTATTAAAAAAATTTGTATTGCTGTCATTTTTTTAAAAAGAAAAACATTTTAAAGTTGCTTCTAATGTCATTGAATTTTATACTAAAATAAATTTTTTATGTCTTATCTTTCTACTATAATTGATTTTAATTTTTTTATCTTTTAAAAAATATTTTAATTTTCATTGTTGAATTTTAAATAGTATTATTCTTCCTAAAATTTTCAAAGACGATTCTGAATTTTTTTCAAAGTTGATTCAAGACAAAACATTATGATAATTTAAAAAAAAAATTCAAAATGAGCAATTTCTTTTCTTAAAAAAAAATAGAAGTCGCATTTTACTAACACGTTTTTTCAACATCGTTTTTTCTTGACTTTTTTAGTTAAAATAATAGTTTTTAATTTAATTGTCCCTTTGATCTATATAATTTCATGAAACTTATTTTTTAATTCTTATAATTAAAAATATTATTTAGTCCCTATATACACTATTTTTGTTTATTTTTACTCTGAATGATTTCATAAATTTTATTTTTTTAGTCTACAAAGACTAAAATATACCAACAATGATAAGTATAAAGATTAAAATAAAATATTTTTAACTATGAAAACTAAAAGATAAAATCTATTAAAAATCATGAACAAAAAGGTAATTAAACCTATTATATATATATATATATATATAATAAATAAATAACGAAATCCTGATTTTCTTTTATAAAACTCCTTTGTTTATCATGTTGACATTTTAATAGTCTTTGGGAGCATCTCTACAAGATACTAACCCATTATTGTGCCATTGTAGGCCATAAATACTACTAATGCTTTTCTTTTAAGAGAATTCATAAGCCTTATGGTAAAGATAAAGATAGAGAGAGCATATAGAGGAATAAGAAAGAGACAAAATGCATTGTGAAAAATCAAATATTCAAATTTACAATTCATGTCCCACGACTTAACTAAATGTATACTCCTATTCATTAAAATCATAATACATCAATTCATTAAAATCATATCCTTTGAGATTAGGATACGATAATGGGTTACTCTCATTCTTCTTTTTTATCATTAATGGGTATACTCAATGTGAATAGTCAAATATTCATTGAATGTAACTTCTAAAAGACGGAAGAAAAAAAAAATTAACTAATGAAGATACAAATGAAGGGGCATCTTTTGCTAGCCTCAAACATAAGCTAATATTTCCACTCTTGTTATTTTTACTCTCTTGCTTTCCTTTCCTACAAAATTCTTGTAATCTAAGATCTTGTGACAGTAATCTTGATTCTTAATGCAGCACCTGAGAAAGTTAGTGGAATGGGTTCATATGTTGGATTCCTTCTCTTAACTCATGATACCTGAGTAGTGTTATGAGGACCTAGCAAGTCATCACAATTTGTTTCCTCACACAAGCACTCATGAGGGTTGGCATAGAAATAGTCCTCTTCCTTTGGCTTATCTAAGATAACTCTTCGCCGAGTTGGCTGAGCCATTCTCTTTTCATGAACCTGTCTCGCAGCATCTGCAAACTCATTCCATGAAAGGGTTCCATTCCTATGCATATCAAACAATTCTACCAGCTTTTTTCGATCCAACAAGATGGTCTTTTTAAAACCAGAATACCTGCACACAAAGCTAACTAGTAAGAAACTTTCCATAGATATTCGAGGAAAATGAAAGAGAAATGCTAAAAATAAACCCATGAATTTCATATGGTTCACAATAAACCATTTGCACTCATTTTATTAGGGACCCATGTGAAATTCACTTGTTTCAATAGAGAACAAGGCATTGTGTTAAAAAGAGTATGTTATTAACATTCCTTATAATCAAATTGCAACCTGGCTGGAACGAGGGTAAATACATACCGGCGATGACCCTCCACTACTTTTGCCATGTTCCCGTCATAGGTAGGAACAAATGTGTTACTGGCTACTGAAACCATAAAATCCAAGGCTGCCATCTGTGATGAATGATTCTGGAATTGCCACAAATCATCACGGGTTAGCAACGTTTCCTTTTTCACCTAAAATTGGAGAAAAAGAAAAGTCAGATGCTGCCATGCAGAATAAAACTGAGGTGCAGAAATGAGGATCACAGTGAACATGCATTGCATCATTCAGATCAGGTCCAACCACTCTGAACTGAAGCTAGACTAATTTTCAACCATAGTTTTGAAAGTTTTTTGCAGAATTTTCCATGTACCTATGTGACACAATATGTGCATGAACAAACTTTGCATAATCCCCAGAAATCCATTTGTAGAAGTCACAGTTATTCAGCACAATTTAAGATCCAAACGATAAACAGAAAAATGGTAGGAAAAACTACAATGCCAATGAAAACTCACAATTCGTGGAAATACAGCTCTTAATTGTGCAAGTCTACGTTCACCGCCATAAATCTCACCAGCTGCAATATAGATCTGTGTCTCCCTACCAAAACCTAAGGCTCGCAGAGTTAAGGCTGCCTCCTCTGGTGTCAAAGGACATAGACCCTGTGATCTCCTCTCGTCAGAAATTATCTCCTTTTCTCTCCACCAAGGGAAAGCATACCTGAATTACATAAGCAAAATCAACATTGTGTGACTCATTGAAAAAATTCTGATCACAAAAAATACTTATCAAGTGTATCAAAATAATTCAAATCCAACCAGAAGGTGGAACTGTCAGATAAGAAGCAGCTATCTCTCAATTAGGGACAGAAGCAAGAATGTATTAAAAACCAATAAATGGAGCCAAGCAAGAAACATAAAAGACCTCAGCCGCTTGAGTTCTTCAGCTTCTGTCTCGGTGCAACCGTGTGTACAACCTGAGAAAGCCAACATGTCCATCTCATATCTCAGATGCAATGCCACAAACGGTCCCTTCTCATGAAGCATACGAATCAATTTGCGCCCCAAGTGCTCAATTTGAGGAGTGAATTTAAGTGCCTGGTAATTGACACGACACCTGAGTTTCTGTAGATCAAGTGGAAGACCATTGTTTGCTAAACGTGTATCAGTTTTGTTGAAGCGTAACACCTTATGTTTTCCAAAAAGTGGCAGAATCTGCAGTTCGAAACAACAGCATTGCATTAAACTCGACATACGCTACTCAAAATAAAGGGAAGACTATACTAACATGCAATTCTTTTCTTACTTCCACACACTCGATGAAGTGCTACTTCGACTTTGCTACATCAGAAGCAACTCAATCTAGTAGCTAAATAATAAATACAAGTAGTCACCTATAACCTAAAGAAGTACTTCTTGTTTTCTTCATATGACTGATTAATATACTTCAATTTAATTGGAAAGTTGAAATGTTACACTTCAATGCTAATATATTTCTTAATATAACATAACCAACAGAGTCCATTTTCTACAACATAACACATTTCTTCCTCTGCATTGCGCATTTTCCTTTACTGGTATTTCCTTTTTAAAGAACAGACATAAGATATTTAGGAAAAAGAACACTAATGAATTTGATAATCTGCAGAATTTGGAATTCTCAACCGATAACATGATTTAGAATAAAACAATAATAATAAATAACTAGTGACAACAATCATGCGGAAGTTCCAATCAATTTGTAAAAGGGTAAAATTACTGACATACACAATCCATCCTACTTTCACGTCTACTAAATAAGATGGCAACTACATGCCTTAAAATCATAAAAGTTAAGAAAAGCTACGAGGCCTTCTCAGAAAGCATAAAAAATATCAATTTAGGGGGAAATTACACCCTCATATCATAATACTGACAAATTAAAGAATCCATGCTGTCCTAAAACTATATATTTCAATTACATAAAAACAAAGATGAAGAATCATAATCACAATACCAAAACTTAAATAGTGATTTGAATACTATATAGTTTTTGGTGTTTTGCTCAAATGAAACAAATAAAACGTACACACCTGCTCCAGGTAATATTTTTCATTTGACCAACTAACAGGAGGCATCTCCAAGGTAGAGTATCCCCATTTGCTACTGAACTTTTTGGGCACTCTTTTCACTATCCGAACTTCATCTCTTAAAGAATCAATGAAATGCTTCACATCAAAAATATCCTCAAAGTTGCTGCAAAAAGAAAACTAAAAAACTTAAAATGACAAGGAGGCCAAATTAGAGGATACTCAACTTTTTTCAGAACCTAGTATATACCTAGGGTCTGCCCAAAATGATGTCTTATCAAGCTCTGGAACTACCAATGTGAGATTCAAAAATCTAGCAACTGTCACCATATCACAAATCTGAAATATCATGTGCCTCTAAATGAGTATTTATGCTTGTCATACAATAGAAAAAGAGAAATGGCAGAATAGGAAGTACAAACCGCAGCACGCATTTGATTCAAGCCCCCATTGCAGGAAACTCTTAGAAATCCATTACTTGTATAATTTCCTGTAAGGTTTAAGGTCAAAAGGCTTTAACATATACCAAAATGTGATGGAGAAAACATGTAAACAACAACAAAAATATTCTATCTATCAAACCTATACATTTGTAAGTATTGCTTTATATTAGTCATTCAATACCAATTCACAATCCTTTTAACAACCAAAACACACGGCAATGGAAATCAAAAGATGGGACACAACAACAGGACACCATTTTGGTCTAGCACTCAGGAAATTATCAATATTATCCAAAACAAAACCCACAAGCACTTCTTGCAGAAAATCCTCAGAACATCATAAAATATCAAAATTAACTTCATTATTCAGAATTGAGTAATATCTGATCTGATCTTAGTCTTGAAATTCTAATGCTCTCATCATACATCCCCAATCACAACTTTAAAATAGCCCCTAGGATGTTTGAAAACCCAGTAATGAAAACCAGCTAATAATCATAAATCCATACGTCATTAATGTTCCAAACAGATTTCACAATCCACAAATCTAACAGATACAATTTGCACCCATTTTTAGTTAATAACAACTATGACCATCTTACAACAATAACAACACAAGATCAATAAGACACCTGAATTTCATTGCTAAATTATACTATATCTAAGATTGCATTACAACTTCAAATTCTTCATTTAAGCAAACAAAAACTTAGCAGTAAGACAAGTAAGTATTCAGTAAAGAAACTAACTCGGGGGAAGAAAAACAGGAGGCGATTGAGCAACCCCATTATCCCCTTGTATTGGAAGCTGAACTTGAGTTATGTGATATATACCATTAGTGATCCCAGAAATCAATTGTGAATGCCATAGTTCACTCACTGTCACTAACTGAACCAGACACGTCCACAGCACAATGCTTGAGCACACACGAATGAACCAAATCCTCAAACGTGTCTTGGGTATCACTGGACCCGGAAGTTTATCACACCTCACTTGTATACCCTCTGATCTAACCTCCATTTCTCAGCCACACACCTCATTGCCTCTTCATCGAACCTTAAAACCTTCATATGGTTTCCAACATTCCCACAAAAACCAAATCAGCATTACACGGAAATAAATAAACTCATTAATGCACATTACATTGCAAAATTTGCAACCCTGTGAAGCCCTACCTCCGGCACAAACAATGCAACAAAGTGACTGAATCTTTTGGAGAAATTGAACCGACCCAGAATTGAATTTGGAGCAGATTATCGTGGGGGAGGCTCAAAAAACGATCTTTTTGGCTCCAACAGAATTTGAAGCACTTCAAGAATCAATGACCAGAAAATTAAAAGGAAAAGGGAAAAAGTGTTATAGAGAAAAATTAGGAGAGCAAGAAAAGACAGCGATCCAAGAACAAGGGAGTGAAGGGAAAGGATCAAATCTCAACAACAAACAAACGGTCTTGCAATGCATTTTTGGATTCCCTTTTCCAGGAAAAAAAATTTTTCTTTTCTCTCTCTCTCCTTTTCTATTCCACACACCACGATTTCGCCAATCTCAATGGATGTTCTCTCTCTCTTTTTTTCACAGAAAAAAAATGTTCGCTTTCTCTCTCTCCGATTTTGATTTTCTTGCTTTACAGTAATTTTTAGAAGGAGATGAGTATAACCCAAACCCACATCAGTTACCTTACTCTTTCTCAAGAAAAAGGTACAGGCACGATGGTATATGGAAACTAATAAATAAATCAATTGGTCAAAACTAAAGAATTTCATATAATTATAAATTTCTGACAACTTATTTAATATTTACCGACAATGAAAATTCTGGAGTACACAAAATTCATTACTTCATTAATTATTTAAGATAGAACAAAAATTTTGAATAAAACGCAATTTCAACTTAAAATTATGCCATTAGAGTTTATGCTAGATTTTAGGTTGAAATTATGATATCATTGTAATTTCAATGACAAAAAAATCAAAATTATTATAAATTATTGAAATTTAAAATTTTGAGTAAGATATGATGATAATATGTAAAATTGTTACGTATATTTTATTATTAAAAATTTGTGTATATATGTAATTATTGTTACCGATGTTTTATACAATAAATTTTATCTTATTATACCTATAGATTTTAATAATCATTCAAGAAAAGTTAATGTGATGGTTAATGCAAAAGTCTTTGTATATATCAATTTTGATAATTACAAAGATGAATTTGATAACCAAGTTTAGAGATATGAGTTTAGATTGTGAAATTATCCCTAATTGTGTAAGATTAGGAATATTGAGAGTGACTAGTGATTTGTTAATTAAAATTTAATATGATCATATGATTTATCAACTTTTGATGTCTCGTGTAAAAGTCATAGAACAAGGGAGGGGTGGTGATTTTAGCATAGGAACTGCCGGAGTGTTAAGGGTTGAAAACCAAAGGATTAAAAAACTCATAGGGGAGGAGATTTCTTTAATTAAGGTTGTTTAGCGAAAAGTTACTACTAAGAGTGATACATGGACGCCTTGCGAACAAGATAAACGAAGTTCATTACATGTAAAATTTGAGGATGATTTTTTTTTTTTTTTGTAAAAGGGAAAGAATTGTAACATCTTATTTTTCAAAAATTAATAATAATATAGTTATTTAATTAATATTTATATTATTGACCTAATTAATTTATTAATTGGGTTTATAATATAAAGGGAATTTTAATAAAATAAAATAAAGATGTTGGGTTAAGTTTTGTTTAGTGAATTTGACTTTAAAAGCTAAGCACAAGTCTAATTTTAAGAGCCAATGTCGTTAGAATAATCCAAAAAAGAGATCTAGAACTTAATATATGATCAAATTAGTGGGTAAAGGTCAAACTATCAAATTTAGGCTTAACTATTTCGATTTTGTGATTTTTAAGTATAATAGATAATTAAACCAAGTCTTAAGGTCAACATATAAGTTGTAGATAAATTTCTTAACTTTTTAATAAATTGATATCAACTTCATAGCATATTTATAACTCCAAATATTATGTTTAGACAACATGAGGTCATAGAAACTTAAAAGAAGAAAAAAAACAATTTGAGTTATAATTGTGAGTTGTAACACCTTGAGTTTTCTATAGTTAATAAAAGGTGTTTAATTAATTAATGGAATTTTATAAATAATCTAAATGTTTTGTGAGGGGGATAAAAAAATGTTTTATTTTATGAATTATATTATTTATATTATATATGAGGGAAGTGTTTTTATAACTAGAGTTAAGAATAATTTAATTGGAGTTAAAGTGGGGTTGAAAGTTATTTTTTTATAAGGAATTAGAAGTTACATTTGGGGATTACGCTTACACTTCTCACCTTCTCATTTTTAATTGAAGAATGTGGAGAGGAGAATGCAAAGCAACAAGAGTAGATCTTCATCCTTTAACAAGCGCTTACAAAGGCAAGAGGAGTGAAGGTTTTCTTCTTTGGGAGTCAAGTAATATGTGGAATAGGGTTTACATTCCTTTCTTTGCTTAAGCATCTCATTCTTGGGAAAATTCATAGTTTGACTTGAAAAGTGGAATTTGGGTCTTGTACTTTTTTTATGAGCATGAGATGCTATGTTTGAGTTGTATGTATGATTGATTTCGCATTGGGGTTGTGGTCATAAGCCTAAGAGTGCCTATGAATCTTGTAAAAGCTCTTGTATTATAGAGCAACATAAAATTTTGTGATAACAAAATAAATTTTCTAAAATTATGGTGTAATTTGAGTGTGTAATGGTAAAACAATTAATAAGGGGTACTAACCTAGTGATTTAATTTACCAATTATCTTGAAAATTGGGAATTTGATGTGATAGTGTGAAACTCACACTTTATATAGTTCTTAATGAATTGTAGTGATGTTTAATGTAGGTGAAGGGGTGTTAGGCATAAGAGCAATAAAGAGCATAAGTTTCTCTAAGTGATGATGACACTAGGTGTGGTGTACCCAGGTCGAGCATGCAAGCTCGAGGGGTGTCTCTATGGTAAATTCATCAAGTGTGAGTGAAGTCACACTAGATGTGATCCTTCTAGAGAGCAAAGTGTCCTCTTTGTGAGGTTGGCACAAAACACAGTATGAGTATTGTCGGGAGCGACATCAAAACTAGTGACTTGTGGTATGTGCAATTCTAAAGAGATTGAGAAATGTTGTATGTGTAATGAGAACCTTATATTGTGATTGCTATGGTAGTGTAGTTACAAAGTGGAGTGTAATGGAGAATGTGAAATAATGGTTGTGATTACATGTGTAAAAGGGCGGGTGTGATTTTTATTGCAAGTTTAAACAATATGAGATATGTTTGATGAATGAGTTCGAGGTATTTATTATGAGTATGAGATGTGTATAACCTTTGGTTAAGAGATGGTTGTTATGTGTATGAGATATGTGTTAAGGGCATGAGGTATGTATTACGAAAAATGAGTGTTCACCTTCGGGTCAAGACTTTATGCCTTCAAAACACCAGAATTCGCCTTCAGACCATGAGACTATGCCATTGAGTCATGAGTATTTGCTTTTGGATCACGAGTAATTGCCTTAGGGTCATGAGTAAATGCCTTTGACTAAAAGGGTATGTCATTGAACCATGAGTAGAGTTGTTAAAATTTTGAGTTATTAATTATTTATGTAAGTATAATTAGAGGAGTAGAACTTATTGGGTTGAGAATGTGGAGTATGAGTGTGTTAATGTGAACGTTTGGGCAATAAAGTTGTGAGGGTATTGTTGTTTAATATGAACTATGAAATGTTCTCTTGTATTATTTATGTATATACTGAATATGTTAGAGTGAGAAATTTTCCACTCTTTTTGTTTTCTATTGTTCTATGTTGAGTGTTTTGCAGGAAATGGTCATCATGATGATGATGTGAGTGATGAGGCATGAGCCTTAATGTTAGACATTTGGCTTGTTTATTTGGTTTAGTAGTAAATTATAAACCTTGTGAACTTTACTTTGAAAGTTGAAGACTATTGTGATTAATTATATTTGGATAATATTTGGATATCTTATTATTTCTTTGAGGGTATTGGGTGTCATATACTTAATCTTGAGAATAGTTTGAGATACTTATATCAATATTTACTAAAGAGAAAGTGTGAAAGAGAACATTTGTAAATGAGTTAGGAGTGGGTTATGATGAATATGAAAAATTATGGTTGTGTGATCTTGTACTTGAGACCTTACATTGTAAGTTATATGTGTGATGTGAGTAAGTCTAAGAGCTAGCTTAGCCATGTAAAACCCAAGATTTAGTTTGGTCATTTATGAAATCTAGACAATGGTCTAGTCGAGTGGAAGTCTAGGTTTTCCTAGCAATGTGATAACCGCGACATATGTGTGATGTGTTGTGTGTTGTGATAGAGGCCATATATTCATGCATAGTTGTTAGAGGTGGATACAGGTCTATTTGGAAGGGTTTCTATGGTCTTCTACCTTAGCCTCAAGGGTGCTATGGTGGGAATATCCTAAATGAGGGGCAATTATGCGCAACTCTCGCACACTAACTGATTGTTGATAAATTTCATTATAGTGAGAGTGGATCGTGTGTTGATTATCCATAAAGTAAAAATCATTTTCTTGCACGTGCTTCTAAACTACTTCATATGCGTGTACTTAATGTGATGCATACAAAGATAAGAGCATATGAGCCCATGAATCACTACTAGAAAAACGTTATTTTCCTACGAATTTTCTTACAAAAAAATATTCGTAGAAATCTTTTACGAATTTTCTTGTAATAATAATTTCACAAAATTTTTTTACGAATTGATTTGCGAAAAATAATTTACAGATAATTCTTACCAATTTTTTTATGAAAAATAATCTGCAAGAAATTTTTGCAAATTTTGCTACAATTTTAATGATCATAGAAATTTTTTTTCATGGTAAAATTTGCAGAAAATATTATAAGAATTTTTTTGTTTCTTGCAGATTTTCTTGCAAAAATAAATTCGCAAGTAATGTTTACTAAATGGTAGAAAAATTTCGTAGGTAACTTTTCTTGCCAATTTTAATCTGCAAGAAAAATTAAAAAAATATTTACATTTATAAGTTTAATATTTTAAAAAAACTTCAAGTCCTACATCGGTTGAAAATAAAACAATTAAAGAGTATATAAGTTGGGGCAACACTTATCTTACCAATTGATTTGTATGGTTGAGTGTTAGATTTATAATCTACAATCTTAGAGTTTAAAAAATTATGTATCACATGTTGTGTTGGGATGCAAGCAAAGTCCCACATCGTTCAAACAAGAGGATGGACATGGGTTTATATACACACAGTTGTCTCCATTGGTTGAGAGGCCTTTTGGGTGATGTCCAAAAGCAAATCCGTGAAGGCTTGGGCCCAAAGCGGACAATATCTCACTGATGTGGAGACATGTGTATATGTGTGGTAACCCACTCGGTGCTCAACAAGTAACATGGAGGCTTAGGAAGCGTGTCCCGCTGTCATGAGGGAGGTCATGATGGAGCGACGGTGCAAGCACTCTGAGCGTGAATGAGCTCTGTGGGGCCAACATGTTGGAGACGTGGAAACAAATGCTTCAGTGGAATTCATTGTAAGCATTTGAAAGTTTAAGAATTATTGATAGAATTTGTAGTAATTTCTTTGATTTTTTTTGTAAAAAATATTCCTACAGAATTTCTTGCGAAAAAATTTCCT